ATGTGTAGATCTTCACGGCGTCTGGAAATCGGGTGGCAGACGCTTGGAGTAAGAAGATGGTGCTCAACCTTGGGTGATGGTTGAGTGGTAATTGTGGGGTTTATATTGGAAAATTGTATAAATCATTGATTTGAATTCTTTTCGAAGAAACGTTTAAGTGGGCTGAAGAGAGATGATTGTTATTCTCGAGTAAGCCGGGGGACTGATTTTCAAGATAATTGATAGAGTTGAATGGGTTTTCAAAAATTGTGAGACAAACCGTATTAACATGATGCAATTTTATTTACGAAATTTCAGAATGAGGAAATGAACTTTTTTTTCTATTTTCCATGGACGATTTTTGGAGCAACAGAAGCTTTTTAGCTTGAGGGATTCAGAATTAGCGTTTTAATCCACGAAAAAAATTAATCATTAATGGGCTCGATATGTTAGATGGAAGCGATAGATCGCGATCGATATGATGAATTGATGCTTTCGATCGTGTCTCTGTGCTCGTGAATTGAAGTGAAGAAATCAGGGGGTTTGGAGAAATGACGAGTGTTTTGGCGAGTTGAATGGGGTTCCAGTGCTGGTGTTGTGATACATAAGGCGCATGCAAGTGATGATTTCCAACAATAAAATTATAATGATTAAAAATAACATGGAGAGACATTGATTGCGTAAAGAGCCCGAAGAAACGAGAATAATTCAGCGAAACGTCGCTTCTTTTGACGATTTAATTGAACATTGTTGTTATTATCTCGAAATCTCCTCATTCTTTCACTTCAATATCATCAATATATCGAAATATCCGATATATTTTATTTTTCAGATTCATTGGATATATCCGATATATTTTATATTTACGATTCATTCGATACATTCGATATTTTTATGGTAATCGACACTAGCGAATGTACAAATCAATAAATGTATATCGATATATCAAAAATATCGGATATACCGAATCTAATAAAAATCGACAAATTAATAAAAAATATCGAAACGTTGTTTCTTTTGATACTTTAATCAGACATTGTTATTTCTCCAAATCCTCTCATTTCTTCACTTCAATACCATCAATACATCGATATTCTGATATATTTCATATTTAAGATTCACTCGATATATCCGATATATTTGATATTTACGATTCATTCGATACATTCGATATTTTTATGGTAATCGACACTAGCGAATGTACAAATCAATAAATGTATATCGATATATCAAAAATATCGGATATAACAAATCTAATAAAAATCGACTAATTAATAAAAAATATCGAAAGGTTGTTTCTTTTGATACTTTATTCAAACATTGTTATTTCTCCAAATCCTCTCATTCCTTCACTTCAATACCATCAATACATCGATATTCTGATATATTTTATATTTAAGATTCACTCGATATATCCGATATATTTGATATTTACGATTCATTCGATACATTCAATATTTTTATGGTAATCGACACTAGCGAATGTACAAATCAATAAATGTATATCGATATATCAAAAATATCGGATATAACAAATCTAATAAAAATCGACTAATTAATAAAAAATATCGAAAGGTTGTTTCTTTTGATACTTTATTCAAACATTGTTATTTCTCCAAATCCTCTCATTCCTTTACTTCAATACCATCAATATATCGATATTCTGAGATATTTCATATTTAAGATTCACTCGATATATCCGATATATTTGATATTTACGATTCATTTGATACATTCAATATTTTTATGGTAATCGACACTAGCGAATGTACAAATCAATAAATGCATGTCGATATATAAAAAATATCGCATATACCGAATCTAACAAAAATCTACAAATTAGTAAAAAATGCTGAATGTCGTTTTTTTGACAATTTAATTGAATATTTTTGTTATTTCTCCAAATCTCCTCATCCCTTCACTTCAATATCATAAATATATAGATATATTGGATATATTTCATATTTACGATATACACGATATTTCCATTATATTCGACACTAGCGAATATGCAAATGAGTAAATGTATATCGATATATTAAAAAAATCGGATATATCACATCCAATAAAAATTCACAAATGAATAAAAAAAAGTGTCGAAATGCAAGCGAAACCTCGAGCAAATGCATTAAACCCAGAAAAAAAATCGAGTGAAAGAATTCCCGTTGCTTTTTTTATTAACAAAAATTTGTGTCTCGTAAAAAAGTTTAACGCGCCTGAGACAACTGCAGAAGTTGCGTGGGCGCCTGGTGTGCGGTCATTGACCGCAGGGCAAGGACGCCACAAGGACATGACTCGTATTCGAGTACACGTCGTGAGTAAGACGTGGTATTCACCTTTAAAAAAAAAAGGCATCTCTCTCCTCTCTTCTCCTCCCTCCCCCATCTGACTCCTCATCCAATGTTTATTACACTATTTTATGTACACGGCAGATGGGGACATTAATATTGACAAATGGAACGGTAAACAGAGTTTTGGTACGTAAGCGCCACACCAAATGCATATCCTGCATTCCGGCATACCAGTTTATACGATGTGTTTACACGGCATGGTACCGTGTGCCTCGTCCAGGTTGGTGGTGCGCGAGTCAAGACGCGAAAGGGCAAGGGGAGGGATATTATTTTTGGAATCACTTATGCGGGGATGGTGAATGCATGCAGATATATAAAAATAAAATACAAATTTCACCGGACACGTCATTTGGCTTTCTCCCATAAATCATTTGGATTTTATTTGCGCTTGAGACTGCAGATTTTTCTTCTCTCTGAAGTAATGATTGCGGAAATTTATGGGGCGGTTTTGATGACTGGCTGATTGTTGTTGCGAGGGAGATGAATTGTGGGGGGGAAATGAGGGTGAGGTGAGTCAATTTTCCCCGATTTTTGGGTGTTTCAACCCATTGAACAGGAAAACTCATATTGGGACTGCTATTTGCCGATGGCGGCGTAGTGATCGCCATGATAACATCCCAGCAAACAATATGTCGACAATTTGCCGACAAATTGCCGATGTCCTGTTAAATTTTAGATGGCACTGGCAAAAACTGTTTTCTGGGCTGGACCCGGTACAGAAAAAAATATAAGTGAAAACTTATATACGGGAACGCCAGGAGTTTCTAGAAAATTCGAGAGAATTCAAGGAATTTCGAGATAATTTCGAGGAAATTCAGGGAGTTTCTAGAAAATTCGAGAGAATTCAAGTAGTTTCCACAAAATTTCGAGGAAATTCAGGGCGTTTCTAGAAAATTCGAGGGAATTCAAAGAGTTTCCAGAAAATTCGAGGGAATGCAAGGAGTTTCTAGAAAATTCGAGGGAATTCAGGGAGTTTCTAGAAAATTCGAGGGAATTCAAGGAGTTTATAGAAAATTCGAGGGAATTCAAGGAGTTTCTAGGAAATTCGAAAGAATTCAAGGAGTTTCCAGAAAATTCAAGGGAATTCAAGGAGTTTCTAGGAAATTCGAGGGAACTCAAGGAGTTTCTAGAAAATTCGAGAAAATTCAAGGAGTTTCCAGAAAATTTCGAGGAAATTCAGGGCTTTTCTAGAAAATTCGAGGGAATTCAAGGAATTTCCAGAAAATTCAAGGGAATTCAAGGAGTTTCTCGGAAATTCGAGGGAATTCAAGGAGTTTCTAGAAAATTCGAGAGAATTCAAGGTGTTTCCAGAAAATTCGAGAGAATTCAAGTAGTTTCCACAAAATTTCGAGGAAATTCAGGGTGTTTCTAGAAAATTCGAGGGAATTCAAGGAATTTCCAGAAAATTCAAGGGAATTCAAGGAGTTTCTCGGAAATTCGAGGGAATTCAAGGAGTTTCTAGAAAATTCGAGGGAAGTCAAGGAGTTTCCAGAAAATTCGAGGGAACGCAAGGAGTTTCTAGAAAATTCGAGGGAATTCAAGGAGTTTCCAGAAAATTCAAGGGAATGCAAGGAGTTTCTAGAAAATTCGAGGGAATTCAAGGAGTTTCTAGAAAATTCGAGGGAAGTCAAGGAGTTTCCAGAAAATTCGAGGGAACGCAAGGAGTTTCTAGAAAATTCGAGGGAATTCAAGGAGTTTCCAGAAAATTCAAGGGAATGCAAGGAGTTTCTAGAAAATTCGAGGGAATTCAAGGAGTTTCCAGAAAATTAGAGAGAATTCAAGGAGTTTCCGGAAAATTCGAGAGAATGCAAGAAGTTTCTAGAAAATTCAAGAAAGAAGGGAAGACCATGGACGTATCCACGCATAATCACAGCTGTATCGAAGACAAAGCCACCCGCAATCTTTATTGTTGTACTCGAGGTCCCGATGTTGTCATTTGTTAGAGCAACTTGAGGACTCGTAAAGTAATTGAACGCGCAACAAATAGGACAAAACCATTCCCAACACCATAAAGAAACCAGCCGAACCAATGAATTACCCATTACCTCCTCGAAGAAAATTCCCCCTCCCCAATCCCAAATTCATCCCACAAAAATAATATCAATAATTTATGTGACACCAGTTGCAATTTCATTCCAAGTACATCCTCAGTCCGTTGATCGAGAGTTTAAAATAAACCCCCCCGTCCAAAAATAAAACAAGTCGATAAAAAAACCAAATACCCCCTCCCTCCCAGCCAACCCCCTCCCCCTCCTCCTCCTCCCCTCCCAGCCCGTTACTTCGTCCATCCGTCTACCAGGTTTGGTGATTGGCTCGGGAGGGGTGGTGGGTACTGGGACTTGTAAAAATTCTATTTTAAAATGCGTCCCACCTTAATACCGAATAACACTCCACGGATTGCCAGGGAGAGGGTCCTTGACTTCGTCGTGGCATTGGCCGTGATGTTGGCTCCGAAGGAGCAGGCGTAAGAGAGAGTACACAAGAGTAAAAAAGGTGGCGAACGGGGAAAAAAGGGAAGAGAGAGAGGGCGGGGGGGGGGAGAGGAAGAGGTTTGAGAGACGAAAAGAGTTTTTAGAGTGAGACGAGAGGGGAAAAAACTGGAGAAAATGAAAATAAAAACGCAACGAAAATGAAAATAAAAGAAAATGGAAAAAAAGAGAAGAGACTCACGTTTGCAGTGGCCCTTATAGGCGACGGGAATGGCCCGACCAGCTCGGCAGGCGGCGAGGCGCAGGTGGCAGGCGCTCTTGTAGGTGTTTCCGTCGGCTCCGCAGACGGGTCGTGCGCTCGCGACCTGGTGAGGTGCCTGGGGGCACTTGCGAGCACACCTCACACAGTGAGGACTCAGATTCTGATCCAACAGGCAGCTTCGACCCTGGCCACAGCGTACACGCTCGCACGAACCTGCTCGACACTTTATACGTTATTATTTGGGGGTTTATATGGGGTTCGAGGATTTTTTTTTATTGCATTTTCGAGTTATCTTTTGGTTGTTGGTTATTTTTTGAATTATTGTGGTTCGAAGATTGAAACAATTTTAGGGGCTAATGTTAATAGTTCAATTCTAGGATTTTCAATTGTCGTTTGAATGCGAAGGGTTGAAATTTAACGAGTAGTTGTTCACGTCTAGTTTAGTAGTAAATAAAAAAATATCAAAACAAATTTTTTGGAAACGATGCTCGAAAAAAATATCACTCGTTCCTGAGATAAATGAGCAATTACAAAATTCGAAATACGACTTGGACCTTATTTTTCACTTCTCTATGCCATGAAATATTCAAAATAATTTTTTTCAAGACGATAAATTTACTCGCCATAAAAATGTTCACCAATTTCTATCACCTTGCCATCTCCCAAAATTATCATTTGATGAACAAAGATTATGATTATCGACGAATCTGGTCTATTTCTCTTCTTTCAACCCTTCACATCAGAGATTTAATTGAAAAATTACGGAAAAAATACTCAATTTGGGAAAAATCTCATTATTCATCATCAAATTTACGGTTATATTGAGTCACTGAATATGAGGAATAGTTGTGTGGTCTAAATTAACCGGGAAATATGAATCACTGGTGTGAAAATTAATTTAACGATAGTGAGTAATTCGATAGGTATGCAGGGTAGACAGAGTAACGCGTACTAAACCGATTCATTTCCCTTTTCCGCTCTTAAAACGACTGGGCAATGGCACGCACGAACGAACGCACGCCAACTTTCTGATATCCTTTTACCCGAGCATTGCGGTCCGAGGGTGTCGATTTAGATTATAAAAGCCGTGGACTCGACGCACGCTACTTGCATTTTTACGTCTCACTAAGTATCTGTGTGAACTCATTTCCATTTTTTTATCCTTCGATTAATCGTTCTTTTTCATTTCGTGAATTTTTATTGATTCAGTGGAGCATAAAATTCTCCGGTGTTTACTATCGTGATGATTTTTTCATTGAAATTATTCAATTAATTAATTGTTCATTGCTGAATTCCTTATTTTATTTGAATGTCGACAAAATTCTGAGACAAGCAGCGCTTTACGATTTTTTAAAGATGTTTTTTAGCTGCAAAACAGTCGATTTCATTACTTGTGCGTAAAGTGAAATTTTGCGCACGCGAAGCGAAATGAAAAATTGGGTTCGATACTCGTGGGAAATGTGTTCTTTGACCGTTGGGAGAGTAACACTCGCGTTCGGCGAGTGCTGCACGTCTTCCACAAGTTAGAAAACCCTTTTTGGCACTGCTGCTGTGTTCACTCCGTACCCAAAAATGCCTTTTCGGTTCCTTGGCAACGAAAAACGCACACTTCGGCCATTCACTGAACGTAACATCACTGTCAAAAAATATTGTTCGACACATGTGAGATGGGAATTTTCAGCTCGGGCAATTGGCAGGCCGTGAGGAACTTTTCTGGCGAATGTGAGGTTACAGGACAAGTCGAAGGCAAATTCTGCAATTATATGAGGTAGAAAAGTTCCCACGGCCCTTTGTCGACCAATATTTTGTGTCATTAGGCCCGAAAACCGCGATTTAACCGAGCGAAGCGAGGTTAAAATCGCTATTTATCGCTATTTATTTTATATAGCGATTTTAACCTCGCTTCGCTCGGTTAAATCGCGGTTTTCGGGCCCAGTGACGAAAAGTGCACTTTTCGTAACGATTTAGTGTGCGTAAAGCGCTTGTTTTCCGCACGGCGGGCGTAAAGTGAGCTTGTGCACAATAACAACTTCTCCCACCACTGGCATTTTGAACAGTGAACTCAGACGCTATCGCAAAGAATAGAAGTGTTACACGTGCGTGCGAAAAAGTGGATCTTTACGCACTAGTAACACAATACACTAGTATCAAATAAACCCATCCAGTATTCTCCCAATTTCGCCACTATTTTTAGTGTGATAAAGAAACAGCCTTGCACGGAGAGAAATATTCAAGAAAAATTACGGAACATTTCACGTAATCCGCAAGCGAGAATCGTTTTCAGCGAATTTCTATAGGAATATAAGAGAATAAATCTGAAACGTTCAGTAAATTTTCGGGTCTGTCACCGAAAAAATACAAAAAAGTCACGTAATTTTTCTGGAAGTTGTAAAATCTAACAGAAACTTCAAGACTTATTATGCCTCAGAACATGAAAATTCTTGGATGTTTAAGAATTTTTACGAAAAGTTCCGGAAAAATTACGGAACGTGTTGTTAAAATCTCCCCCTCATGGTGACTCTGGCTAGCCGTGAGGCGTCGGACGCATGAGTAATTTTTACGGAACAGATCGTAGAATTTACGTGACGATTGACACTTTCATTGAATTTTACTTCGCTCCCAGATTACGTTTCGAAACCTAATTTTTACGTCTTTTTTCTGGTAATTTTTATTGAATATTTCTCTCCGTGTGGGTATGGAGGTATACGCTTTTATCATTAAATATTGGAATTGTGGTATTTATTTGATGATACGTCTGGCGACTCACTTTGACAGTAACCGTTGTAGGCAACAGTGAGCTCGTGGCTTCCCTTTTTGCATGCGTGTTTCTTGAGCCTGCAGAGGCTACGGTAGCTCCTGCCGTCGGTACCACAGACCGGTCCACTTCCACCACGTGGTGATTTGCACTCTGGACTACAAACGCACCTCGGTCTTCCCCGTCTGACAACACACTTCTTTCCCTCCTCGCAACGTACCTCTGCGCAGCTCTCTGTGTTGAAAAAAAGTAACAGAAAAACATTTCTTCAGTACAATTAATTCCTCCCTTTTTGATGTATTGATTCGTTACATCTGGGAACAAATCTGATGACTCAGGAATTTTAATAATCTTGTAGATTATTGCCCTTTTGGGAATTTTTATTGGAAATTTAGTAAAAAATGAAAACGTTCTAGTGAAAATTATAATGTGTTGCAGGGAAATTTGGAGAATAATAAAGTAATTATTAAAATTTCAATTGACTATGAATTATATAATTGACGATATGGAATATTGGGGACTATTGAGTAAATATTTTTTCAGTTCATAGGAGAATTTTTCATTAGCCAAATAATCGTCAATTTTTCAATAAAATAATTCGGAATTTGAATATTTAAGTGATGATCAATTGAATAATTAAAAAATTGTTGAGTAATATTAGCAATTGATTGATGAAAATTTAACTTAATTTGAAATTTATCATTACGCTGATGTCTGATATTTGAGAAAAATTGCAATATTCCGGTGAAATTTCGACTTGAAACATAGAATTTTTGAACTGACGTTCAACGGAAAAAAGGACAAACATCAATTTTTCAAAAATCAGCTTTTATTATTATTGAAAAAATAGGTGATAAATAAACTAATTTTTGCTGATATACGGGCTCTTGAGGGATTTATTTTCAAATTCAGTAGCGTAACGGTAAACCGATTTTAGTGGATCTAAGGGAGATGGAAAAATTTTTGTCATGATCTTTTTTATAGCCCTCATTTCACTCTAAGAAAAGCAACTCGTGAAAATTCTACTAGTCCTACAATTTTCAATATTTTTTAACAATTTTTTTTTGTGTCTTCGATATAACCAATACAATACCTCGACACGGTCGACACTGAACACCACCCCCAAGCACCCTCCAGAAGAACAGACTCCCGCTATCGAGATCCTCGTCGGAATAGGCTGTTGCAGCTGCTGCGTTTGATGCGCAACACTCCTGCCTCGTGACACCCTGGTTCATCAGCTCTTTGCACTTGCCGTTGCTTATCGAAGACCAGCAAATTCCCCCTGTAACAAATCGAACAGAAGATTGAATCCTCCGGTGGAAACAAAACATAATTGGGAAATGCTTTCGTCACAACATAGACAATATATTTTTCATAAAAGCATTTTTGATTAGCCAAATAATCGTCCATCTTCCGAACTCAATTATTGCTTCATAAAATAATTCGGAATTTGAATATTTAATTGATGATTCACTTTTTTCTCATAAAAATCCCTTTTTTTCATAAAAAAGAATCATCAAACTGATATCTTATTCACTCAAATCATAACAATGACGATGATGATAATCAAAATCATCATCATCTAATAATTAAAATCGCATAAACTCTCCCGCTCACTCTCCCTCGCCGCGAAGACTCGCCCGCTAAAATTTTTCATCGTCCAGACATATGTCGCTTTCTCCCCGAACAAATTAATAATAATAACCAGAAATTCTTGCAATAATTAACGTCACTGTAGACATGTCAATGTCGTCATGTGTTTTTTTGCAACAATTAAAAAATGTTTTTATCACGAAATTTTATATCCTCAAAGACTTTTCTCCTAGCGCCCCAGCAATGCATGATGCGCGTATCACGCGCTCCCCGCGATCTTTGAGGCCGTTGGCATTCGTGTCGTTGCATTCCTCCCCGGAGGCTAAAGTATCTCTACCACCGCAATTTTCGTCTACGTATTCAGACTTTATGTCCACTGGTATTTTACCATCTTTAGTTGATTCAATGGTTTCCAGTCCTAGATAAGCTGGTGCATTGGCTCATTTCCACTGGTGGGACAAATTCCAACGAGTGATCGTGTGTTGCGCAAGTATCGTTTAATTAGCGCCTAGACTAGAAAAGAAACTCGATAGGTGATTAGCGTGGAAAAGTGGAACAAGGCCTGGGTAAGAAAGGAGAAAAAGAATTTTTATTGTCGGAAAAAAAGGGGAAAGAGGAAATCAACGCTCATGCGGAATTTTCTGGGGTATGAAATGTTGATTAGTTACACGGAGAAACATATTTTTTTTATTTTCAGGAACATGTCACTGATTTTTAGGAATTTATCGTCAATTAGTCGTTGTGCACGGAGAGAAGTTGGTGGAAATATTCTAATGCTGGTGATGGAAAGAACGCCAAAATCCACCGGCTGAAAAATTCTAGGGCTGCTAAGGTACTATTTCTGGGGATTTCTGTGAAACGTACTGACTTATCCGATCACTATTTTATCATTGGTTTTCGAGACGTAACTTATTCTGCACGGAGAGAAATATTCAATAAAAATTACGTATCTTTTCCGTGATTCTGGAGGGCAATGTGCACTGATAGAATGATTCATTTATTCCAAACGAGATTCGTTAACTATTAACGAAAAACTTCATGGAAGATATTGTAGTAAATCTCATGAGACTGAAATTGAAGCGAATTTAGGGAAAAAATGGTTATGAAATTTCAAATTTTAAGTAGAATTCACGGAAATTCATGAGTTTTCGGTGGGAATGAGATGGAAATTTCACAACTTGATTGAATTTTCGTTGGAACTTGAATATTCAGAAACAAAATGCCATGAATTTTTAATTCAGTAGCAAAGTGGTAAAACGGTGCAAGTGAATTTTGACCATCGACCAGTTTTCAATGAATATCTCGGAATCTAAGAGAGATAGCAAAATTTTTGTTATAACCTTTTTTGTAGAGCTGATTGAGTGCTACAATGAATGTGATTACGAAAATTTCGCTATCTCCCTTAGATTCGGAAATATTTCTCAAAAACTCAACTGGGAGATAAGTCGACTTAAACCGTTTTACCACTTCACTACTGAATTTTTCCCTNTGAATGTGATTACCAAAATTTCGCTATCTCCCTTAGATTCGGAAATATTTCTCAAAAACTCAACTGGGAGATAAGTCGACTTAAACCGTTTTACCACTTCACTACTGAATTTTTCCCTGAATTTTCCTGATTTTTCTGAATTTTCACAGAATAATTAAATGAAAAATCAAGTATATATTATTGATTTCCAGATCATTTGAACAATCTCAACTAAATGATCTCAAAACGAAAAATGTATTATATGATACTGTATTAACCTGAATACGATGTAAATCTTTTTCAAAATTTTAGCAAAATATGATGTAATTTTTTTAAAGCAGAATAAACCAGCAGGTTTGGATGCTAAAATAAAAAAAAGATCATTTGAACAAAAAATCGATGAAATATTTGATTTTTCAGTGACACGATTTCCTGAAATTTCAGTGGAACTTGAACACGATAAAAATTTCCGGAATTTGGCACGGAAATATTCAGACGAAAATTTTCAACAGTACATAAAGTCCCCGTGAATTCCCAAATATTATTCATTACGTTGAAAAAGAATGAAAATGGCATTCCTTGCCACAACTATCAAACGTAAATGCTCTTCTTCCAACGAGAGAAGAATTCGACAAATGTTCATTAGCTGCAACTTTCCACTTGAATCGTTACGAGCGAAATAGAATAATGGAATGTTGCAAATTAGAAATATGATTTATTAGAAATATGATTTATTTATTTCATCGACAACGACAACAAAAATATTTACGACTTCAGAGATTCCATTTTCCTCCTTTCCATTCACTCATTCAGAACTGTGCCATCCGGGCTATTTTTTCATCATCCACACCCCTAAGTCCATAGAATGCGGATACCTAACGCGTGGGAATGACTACGCTGATCCTATCATTCGCATTGTTTCATTCGTAGAACAACACTAGAGAAAAACAACTCGTCCTAAGGAATTTTCAAGTTGACAATCGGATGCACGTGAGTCGTGCGACGAAAGTGCCTTTTTACTGTTAAAATTTTTTGTCTGAAATTTTCTCTTACATTTTTTGGAAATTTTTATCGAACTTAAATACCACTGAAACTCAAAGGAATTTCGACATGGAAAATTCAGAATTTCGGGAAAAAATCAAAGAGAACTGTCAATTTGAGTTCCATTTTTCCCTGAAAATGAGTAGAACTGTGACACTGAATGCGATTTAGGAGGAAAAATCATGGAATTTCAGATTTCACTGAAAATTTAATGTAATTTTGGTACTATATATTCATATTAGATTGGAAATTCAAATAAATTGAGGAATTCTCGTCTTTATGCTACTTGCAATTCTGGAATTTTACTAAATTTTCAGTGAAACCTGAAATTTCATGATTTTTTCCCTTAAATCACATTCAGTGTCACTCACTGTTGAAAATTTTCGTTTGAATTTTCCGTGCTAAATTCCGGAACTTTTTATCATGTTCAAGTTCCACTGAAATTTCTGGAAATCTTATAATTAAAAATTCAGAATTCCGTGGAAAAATCGAAGAGAACTGTCAATTTCAATTCCATTTTTCCCTGAAAATGAGTGGAAAGCCAGAAAATTGCGGTAAATATATTCTTGAATTTTCCGGACAGTGACACTGAATGCGGAAAAAATTAGAAATTTCAAAATTCACTGAAAATTCAGTGTAATTTGGCACTGAATATTCATATTAGATTGAAAATGCAAATAAATTAAGGAATTCTCGTCTTTATGCTGCTTAAAATTCTGGAATTTCACTGAATTTTCAGTGAAACCTGAAATTTCATTATTTTTTCCCCGTAAATTGCATTCAGTGTCGCTGTCCTGAAAATTAGTAATCAACTGTCCATGAAATTTCCCTTTTTTTCTACCAGTATTTATTTTACACTGTTAGAAATTTTTTCAAAATTGAGCAATACTTGTACTTGAATTTTCAATTTTGTGAATTTGAATCTAATTTAATATCAAATCATTCATGAAATCTCTCATTCAGGTTGAAAACTGAGAATAGTTCGGGTTTTTCTACATTATCACTGATATTTCAATGACATCTAGAACTTTCAAATTCATTGCGGAAAAGGAACATCACATCCAACTGAATTTTCAGTGGTTTGAAAATTCAGGGAAATTGTTGCTTAAATTTTCAAATTATTTAATAATTTTCACCATCAAGTAGACCTGAAAGTTACAATTCCATTGAATACTCCAGAATTCAACTGATTTTTCAAAAACAAAATGCATAAAGATTTCGTGTGAATAAGTGATTGTGAAAAATTTCAAGTTTGTTTACTTGAAATTTCAGGAATAATTTTCTAACAGTGTAGTTATTTTCCACATGAATGAGCGAATGAAGTAAATTGTTCTGTGAGTGGTGACCGAAATTAATTATTCTTCCATAAAATCAATGGTGCGATAATGATTTCGACGACTCATGATAACTAGTAACTGATTCAACTGATTTTTCAAAAACAAAATGCATAAAGATTTCGTGTGAATAAGAGATTGTGAAAAATTTCAAGTTTGTTTACTTGAAATTTCAGGAATAATTTTCTAACAGTGTAGTTATTTTCCACATGAATGAGCGAATGAAGTAAATTGTTCTGTGAGTGGTGACCGAAATTAATTATTCTTCCATAAAATCAATGGTGCGATAATGATTTTGACGACTCATGATAACTAGTAACTAGCGAAGCGACTTGTCTCACCCCTAAAATATATTCTCGAGTGACGTATGATGCATAAACTCTTTTTTTAAGCTCCAGTGTCATGTTTCCATACTCCAATAATGTTGCAACGAGGATTCATGCCGACCAAGTGTCTCGTATTACCAATTTACCCAAGTGCCTCTCTTTACGTCGTCAACGTGCATATAAAATCGGTGCGTGCAAGGATGCCGCAATGTATCAGATAACGATTATTCTTCTTTTTTCGTTCAGAATCTCTTGGTGTCGGTTTCGAAATTTCTTGAGACAGTTGATCATGCTTGATACGGGGATTTTGAGTGATCATACATATTTTTCGGCGTTTTGTTTGAGGTATAGGGAGGAAAGAGTTCAATGCGGCAGCTGTAATCCTCAATTCCGTCATAATTTTTTCCGATTAATCGTCATTATTTTTTACTTTGCTAACAGACAGTCCTGAAAAGGTGGAAAAACTTTTTCTTTTCCTTTTCAAAGCCGTAAAAATTGGAAAAAACATTTGATAATTTAT